ACATCAGCAATAACAAGGATACAATAACAGTTTGTAAGATAGCATTATCCCTGATAATCGAAACAAAGCAGGTTTGCACATGAATTTTTTGCCGCAACCATCCATTTTACTATCACTAACACAAGTAATTTCGAGACAAAAATGCAGTATCACATATAATTAGTTCCTGTTTATCACGATAGTAAGTTAAGAAGAAAATAAAAAATAAGCCAGTGGGAGTTTATATAAATAACATTGAGCAGAAACATGCTTAAAATCAACAAATAAATATTATTTTTAATAATAAAATAATAACTGTAGAAGTAAGGCAAGTAAATGATAGTATACTTATAGGCAAAATGATTAAACAGTCTATATTTTTAAGCCCTTTCTTAAAACGAATAAACTCTATATTACCATATTCATCCATAATTTCTTCATCTTTGCAAGTTATATTTTAAGTACTTTCTCATAGCTAATTCTTGAAAGCACAATGCACAAGTTGTAATGAAAAAGAACTCCCAGCACTCTTAGATGAATAGTCATAAGAACCCATAAAAAATCTGAATGCAGCAAGCAACAAATCATAAACAGTAGACTCATAATTTTTACTGCTTGAAAAATAGGTTTATTTATTTATTTATTTTTTAAATGGAGAAATTAAGATCTCTCAAGCACACATCTCATGACCTATAATGTAATAATCATAAGAAGATTAATTTACCTATAATATTAGAAATAAAAAACACATTTACTATCATTATAGAAAAAAGAACAAGAAAGAAATCATTAGTAGATTAGATAAAAGTCTGCAAAATTTTAGTTATGGAGTATATATATTTTTTATTTTACTTGAATTCTAACTTCCAAGCCCAGGAGATATAAAACTACCACTTAACTCCCAAAAATGCCATAAAAGAAAACAAATAGTTAAAAAAGTTTGAAATTATCTAACACCACCAACAACAGCCAATAATAAACAACATGTCTGTCATCTTTAAATCCAATCAAAAAAATTAATCCAATCATCAATTATGGACGAGGCTATTGGCACCCAAAAATCCAATAGAAAAAGAAGAAGAAGATCAAAATCAGATTGAAAAACACAGATAAAAAAAAAAAAAACCTCAAAAGAACTAAAAATTATACATAAAATTTTCTTTGAAGTATTGTTTGGTATCCAACAATGAAATGATGAGAATTAAAAAAAAAAAAATTCTTACTTTGTAATTATTTGATTGAAATAAATGAAGTGAGAATAAAAATAAAAAATAGAAATAAAGATAAAAATTAAATATAGTTTTATTTTCATGGAAGGATGTAGGAATAAAACTAATAAATGTGAATGAGATTTTTTTCTTTAAAATAACAATATATTATTTTTTATTTATTATGTATCAACTACTTCTATCACCATCGCCACAAACACCATTTTTATTATACTACTATCGTCGTTATTTTTCTTCCACTACCACCTCTTATAGTGAATTGGTGATTACATTAATTTTTTAAAATATATTATTTTTATTGCTATATTACTACCACCACTACGTACTCGTCTTCCTTCAACACCGCAATCACCTCTATCGTTTTTATTACCATTATAGTTGTTGAAATTATTTTTTAGTCATTATTTTTATTTGTCTTAAAAATTAGATATTAAAAATCTTAGATCAAATTTTAATTTCATATTACCATTCTAAATACAGTATTGAAATAAAAATGTCATTCGATTCTCTATTTTTTTTTATTTCTATATTTTCATTTCGGACATTTCATTTTTTGTAGCCAAACAATACCCGATGGTGGAGAAATACAAAAAATTGTCATCGAATCGGTTTTTTCACCTTTAACTTGCCATATTCACTCTTCCCTTTTCTCTCTACACCTCTTGATTTTTTATTTTTTATTCACTTTATGTTAATTTAAATAAAAATAAATCCCAAAAAAGTTTTAGAGAGGAAGATAAATTGATTAAAAAAAAAAAAAGTTAACTTGAGAGGTAGAGCAATCTGAAAAACTAATCTCAAATCAATTTTTTCCTTCAACTTATCCCATCGCTCCTCTTTTTCCATTTTTCATCTCATTAAATCACTTGTCCCTGTAACATTTGATTGGAGAAAACCATTTCACTCAGCTTATTATAAAATAGCAAATTTTGGAGAAATTAAGATCAAGCTGGTGATATGGCAAATAAAGGTGCCATCAATATAGATGGCAGTGCTTATGTGGAATGATAATCACATGCAAATGTTAGAGATGGAAATGATGGGAACAATTGTTATGAAGTTAGTTGGAAAAACTGGATCATTTTGTGTAAACTTCTCTCTAATTTTACTTTTATTTTCTTTTTGATTTCAATAATTCTTTTATAACTGTTCTTCTATTCAAAATTGTTTTCATTGCATAAAACACTGATTTTATTGAATAATATAGATTGATTCAATTTAAACTTGAGTTCTTCAATTCTAGAATTGTAACTGTAACATTTGAAGCAGAACTAATCTTGGCATCTATGTATGCGAAAATTAAAAAAGGATGGGAAAGGGAGATGGTGATTTGAAGAAGGCGGAAGAATCAGTTGAAAAGTTAACTAAGATAATCTCTGGTCTCACTAAAAAATAAGATGATATGGTGTGTCAATATAATTTGGAAATGGAAAAAATCAAGGAATTGATGAGAGGCTTGCATGCTAAAAGAAATGTAGAAACTAATAATAATGATGATAATAGGTTTCATGCTAAGGGTGGGAATGTTGATGTAGGAGTTAACAATTGAAATGGTACGGATGGTAGAAATGTGAATTTTAATAGAGGAATTCAAGATTTAAATTCTGGTTATCAAGCTACCACTCGTTTGTCTCGACACCAATAGAAGATCAGATAAAAAGAACTAAAAGGAATGTCCAGCACTGAGGTTGCAATTCTAGGTCAACCAGGGACCTTGCAGCCTAGGCTATGTTTGGGACAAACAACTATCTAGTCATTTAAAAAAGATTCTAACTAAGTAATACAAACTAACCATAAGGTCATTTGAGGGGTTACAAAAGAAAAGTTACAAGTTGGGAATCTAAAGCACCATAAAAGAAAAGCAAAGAAACTCACATGGGATTGAACATTTCCTATTACAGTGAAACCCCAAGCTAAATAGGATTGAATTTTTTTTCTTTCAACTTTAGGGTGGGCAGGAAGAAACCTAATGAAGAGTTGGGGTTGAACACCAAGGATCAGAATTCTCAGCAAAGTAAATGTAGAACGGAGTTGAGAACATTGGAAGGCAGCCAGTGAAACTGAAATGAAAAGTTGCATCAAATGGTAAACAACAACGTCAAGTTTTAGAGAGATGGCAAACAAGGTCCAGTGGAATACAAATTATTTGTTGATCATTCAGGATAGTAAGTTCAAACCAAGGAACTCTACTCCAAAAGTTTCAGCTGTCATCATTCTTAGCACTTGTTTAGCTAGTTCTAATTTCTTTTTTCCTCTGGTATGTATGGGCATGTGTGCTTGTGGCCATGAGCACGCATGACCGTGTGTAAGAATATGATTAATATATAACCAAAAAAGAAGAACGTTCTTGGTATTTTAGTTCTTTGACTTAGTCCTCATGCAACTCCCATGCTACACAGAATCTCTCTCTAAAACAAAATGGAGCCACGGCAGAAAAAGGACCAAAAAGGAAACTAATTGCCATAACATAGTAAACAAGGAAAACAACACAAGAAACTTCAAATCTGAATATATTCTGGCCTGCAGTGGAGAACATCATAACCAATAATCTAAGCGAGAACTTGAAAAAATTAGAACCCAACACGGCCGAAGACAAAGTATCCTTAACCATATAACTTGTTAATTTTAGTATTTTTCAGGCTCCTATCAATATTACAACCTTCACAGTTTAAACATCCCTCATGCTCAAGAATTTATTTTATATAGGGGTCCTTGAGACAAATAATATAAAGGACACTTCGTTTGAAAATAAATCTATTTGCTGGCACACGCCAAATCATGAACTCTCATTTTCGAAATTTACTGCTAAGTTTGATGACTAGGCACAATACCAACCACCAGATGCATTTTATAACCATGTGTCCATCCTCCAGAAGACATAATAAAACTAGAGAAATTTTGGAATAGAGGTGAATCGCACTCCATTACTACAGCTTCTAGAAGTTGAAGCCTCGTGCACGTTCTCTATGTGCCTCTGTAACTTGTCATTTTGATTTTAAGTTATAAGGGTACTTGGGATTTTGGAGTCATAAACAGTCCTTATCTTTAAACTATGCTTTTGTTCTTTTCATTTGTATATTGTTTCTGATACAATTGAATTGAATATGCAATGCTGTCTCGATATGCTATTCTATGCACATTTTATTTACTAACTTCTAGACAAAACTGCTTTACCATGAACTCTATTGAAAAACATTATTCAATTCCCATAGGAAGTTAACTTAATAGACATACCATCAGAAACATGCATGAAGTAAACATTTCAAAGACTCTGCCTCTTCTTATTTCATCACAAAAATGTTGATTTTGATGACAGTGCACAAGCCAAGCTAAATATAAACTAACATTCCTATGATTCTCTTCATCGAACACTAATGGCTATATCAAAATCACTTCTTGGAATTGCTCCTCCAAAAATCGTATAAACCTAACTCTGAAATCCAATAGTAAACGTAATGCCATACGGTGTGGCCCCCTAACCCCATTTCACATTTCTGGGTATTTTAAATGTTATGAAAACAGACAAAACATTCAATACTAACAAACTTTACTTGGGCCAATTTCCATCTTTATTATTCAATTTGAAATCTTTTTCCTTATTATTTTTATTTTGAAGCAACAGAAAATGGAAAGAGCAAAGTATTATAGAAGTTGTGCGGTGTCTGCACATAAAAGAAAAAGAGACAGAATCAAACAGAAAGAAAAGAGTACCTTGTTGTCATGATAAATTTAGAATTGAATACCCCACCCCCACATGCTCCTGTTGGTTCGGAGATGTCTGTCTTTCAAGTCTTAATCCCATTTTGAGATGGGACCCATCAAAGATTGATAAAGCTCCAAACTTAACCTGTGTAGGGTTGCAGAGAGAGAGACTGTCCTCTTGAGCACTGTTAGAAGGACGGTGGCAGAGATCTTTCCAGCTCTACCACACCCCGTACCTCGATTATTTTGGAACTGCATTTGGGCTTATGGTCTTGTACTTTTGCATCTCTTACTTTACATTTTGGGCTTTTGATCAAAACTCAACTTAAAATTCATTAATAATGATATTTTTTTTATACAACAGTAATAATAAAATCTGAAAATTATTTACTAACAATCATTTTTAAGAGTAAATCAGTCAACTGGTTTTTTGCCTATCGGATTTTCCAATTTGTTATTGAGCTCCAAAAACAGGCTATAATATTATCTCGTTATATTTTCCCACCGGTCTTTTTTTCTTTTTCTTTTTTTAATGAAAAAAATATCAATCAAAGCCAAAATCTTTAAATTACTAATTTAGATGAATAAAAAAATTTAAAATAAAAATAAAAAACTAGTAAATTCGAAAAAGCATTTACCAAAAACCAAAACAAGATATAATTCTGGAGAAAGAAATTCAGTGAATTTGGTGTCCATATAATTCCACCTTGTGCTTTAAAGAGTCATCACTTTCTTGATTTGTGCATTGTATAATTAGGATTTGTGAATTCTGATATTTAATTTTTTTAATTAGTAAATTTATATTTTTTATAGTGATATTCATTTAGGCTCTTATTTGGTAGTCTCGGGTATAAATTTATATTTAAGCGATATTTTTGTATTTTTCAAAATTAATCTTTAAGATTTTTTATGTTTGATTGGCATTTTTATCATAAAAAGTGTGCAAAGTTGTACGAATTGCTTAGTTAAAGATATCATCTAGTACTGTCTTTTCCTTCTTTTTTTTTTTTTTTAAATGAATCTTTTATTATTCTTAGTTTTCCTAAATCACTAAAAATGTTAATTTTCATCTTCTGATTTAAAAAAACTTGTCCATATAACTAGAAATCGATATGAGTTGTTCTCAGTGGTTGGTCCTCCCGTAGTTTTTGCCGATGGTCAATTTGGGTGGGCAAAGGGCGTTTGTTTTGGCAGATGGGTGCACAAGCCAAAACTGGGCTGATGAGCTTTTCTGGGCTAGGCTAATTTTACCCAGCAATCACTTTATAGGCTTCCGTCCCAAGACATATATGGACAAAGCGAAGAAACGACTTAATTGAGGCCCAAATATATTTTACAGCGATTAGGAAAAAAGTGGAACCCCAGCCCAGAATTCTTACAGTATTTTGTTTTGGGATAATTACGAGAAAAATCATCCAAAAAAATCTTATATTTAAGTAATTCATCAATTTATTTTTAAATCTCTCAAATCCAAAATAATATTTTTCTTCCCAAAACATCCAATAGTTAACCTAAAACTTAACACTAGTTAATTATTGAATTTTTTAATAAGATAATTTTTTTATTTTTAGATTTGAGAGATTTAAAAAATAAATTGATAGATTTTTAAGATAGAAAAATTTTTAGAGTTTTTATCTAATAATAAACTCATTTCATAGTTCTTAATGAGTTTGATATTTATTATTTTTTTCATGATCAAGTCAAGTTCTTTTTTATTACATTCGAAAGGAAAAAAAAAGTTTTTGAGGTTCGTTGACTTTTAAATAGTAACATTCAACTACTATTTTTCTATTATACTAAAAAAAATCCTTATATTAGAGTTTTTTTTATCAATCAATTGTTTCATTAATTACGATATTAATTTTAATATCTAGTAACTATAACAACCAATGCAATTTAACTAATTAATATCGATGAATGAGACTCTTGTTATTCTCTTATAATTTAATCAAAATGTTATCATACAAATAAAAAAAAAAGAATATTTATGATTAAAACGTTATCATCGACAATAGAAATACATATCTTAAAAAATAATGGTTTCATTTAAACTAAGGATAGTTATCAAAATACCTTCTAAAAAATCTTCTATCTAAAAAATTCATTATTTTATTTTTAAATCTCCCAAACACAAAATAATATTTTTAAATCTCACAAGCCTAAAACAATATTTTTTTTCACAAAAACAAACAATGGTGTTAACTATTGGGTATTTTAGTAAAAAAATATTATTTTGGGTTTGGGAGATTTAAAAATACGTTTGTTGGTTTGTTAGATAGAAGATTTTTTTATAAGGTTTTTCCGGTAATTATCCCCTTTTTTTTTTCCTTTATTACTTGTACTACCCCTTGTTTCCTTGTGAACATGACTTAAGACATGAAGAGTTATTGAGTTCAAGTACCATTTTTAAATAATTTTTATGTATCACAAAAATTAAACTTATCCTCAAAATAAGTAAGATGAGCTTTCTTCCATCAAATGACAAATGAGACCTGACATAATCAACTCTAAATTGTGAGAAAGTAATTATAGTGGTTAAACAAACTCAGAAATACTTTATTACTTATAAATATTAGAATAAGAAAAATATATATTTTGATATTTATAATCTTGTTTCATTTATCAAAATAAAGAGTTTGCGCTTCATACTTCTCTAGTAAAATGACATTTGAGCTATCTTTTTGACATGGAAGTCTAAAATTTTGCAGTTAATTATATAGATTGATTCTCAAATTTCTTTTGGTGGAGGAAGAAGATGGTATTGTTTGCAATTTTTATTTGTAATTTCTAAAATCAATCACGCATGTTAGGACAAAAAGTTGTCTATGTTTATGCCAGTGAGAAATGTGAACTGCTCTAAAATTCTCCATTTATCTCATGATCTCGACCTAAAAGTGACGTGCTAGAAAAGAAATTTATTAATTACTAAGATCTTTTTCTTAGAGAGATTAAAAACCTGACTTAACATTTAATTGGGAGTTCGAATAAGTCAGATATAGTGCCTTGTTACTTCATGCCAATTCCAGCCAGTCTCACAATCTATCATCTTTGTACTTTCACCTCTAGCTAGTTTTTTGTCTGAACCTCAACTTGAGCACAAAAATATTATAGTATAGTTTAGTGTCTTTAACTAAAACTAGGCTAAATAGCCGATGGATATTCTTTCCATTTTGGATCCGTTGAACCTTGAACTACATAACGAGTCCTTTTTTTTTCCCCCTCTTTTAAAGTGATTAGAATAATGAATCTTCGTAAAATTAATCTACGCATATATAGAGTATTAAAATCTCAAATAAATTAATTAATGTGAAAAAGCAGATTAAGATTCTTTCGTATTTCACTCTTAATTTACCAACTGTTTTTTTTTTTTTTTTGCATGAAGTACATGAGTTATGCCTTAAGGGTGTTAATATTTTTGGTGATTAAACATGCCTAAATATACTATATTTATACACAAATAGGCTTAATCTAGCAATTATATACACTTTCTAGTAAATTAAGTTTCGAGTCCTGGTATTTATTGTATATAGGGACCTTCTCAAACGATTAGGAAGGGTTGTCATTGCCACAAATATATGGAAATGCCAAAATTGAGAAGGAAAAAAAATAAAAAACGTAGAAATTACTAAATTGTTTTAAGATTTTCATCTACGTATTTTTAAGAAGGGATAATTGGCATAATTAATTCACATGATTTATACACATACATATACTGTGAGTTCCTTTAAGCCACAGTAACTCGTCCTCTATGGTTTTCAATTTAATCTATATATGAAGACCTATCTTGTCTTTTTAAGAAAAGGTTTCATGGTAGTGGTCCACCAGAGTTAGTAATCCATAAGTTAATTAGCTAATTATTCAAGGGTAGTATTTGAAACCTGGATCTTCCTATACTACACCAAGTCATCTTAACCACTTGTATTAACCCTTGTGGCAGAGTTAACCAGCCTAATTACTATGTATAAGATCTTCCATCGAATTCCAAAATTCCAGTGCATCTCCCACTTTTTTTTTCCTTTTTCTTTGAGAAAACAGGGAATTACCCACTAATTCGATGGATGCTATTAGAGAGTAAAATCATATTTTGCAACTTTATCAACAATATTAAGTTTTTTTTATTAAAACAGTTTTTTAAATATTATATTAGAGTTTTGATAATCAAACGATCTCAAATCTAAATATCATCAAAGTATTTTGCTAGAAAAAACATGTTATAAAGTAATATAAATTATATTCTAAAACCTTATCGTTTAAATTCTAATGAGATGTTTTTTTTTTTTTTTTTTTGACAAATACTAATATTTGCCAGCCAGTGACCTGTATAAGCAATCGAACAACAATGCCAGGACCAAGAAGATGCTTGCTAGGGTTAGTTGACTTCATGTGAAAGTGCCATCAATGGCTTGTAACAAACTCTATCAAGGAACCCAGAAACCATGTGTTCCAGTACCTGAAATTAAGATGAAGACAAAAAGAAAACCCGTGAGAGGCAAATTGGCCATGGTGACTTTTCTTCGACGTGCGTGGCTTTGGGAATCTTATAAAGGTTTTCTGGAGCCTAGCCAAATCCAGCTTCCAAATAAAGACGAACATGACATCCTGCAACAACCAAAGTAATGACAAAAACCATAAATTATATTGAACATTAATGTAGTGCAACTCTCAAGCAGAGTACTCCTTCCACTTATGGTGTCACCATACTTACTGTAAATGAATCTGCATTGGAGGTTAAATCATGATAACTTAATTATTTTTTTAAACATATATATATATATATATTTCATCAGGTCAACATGTTGTAAGTTCGAAGATAAGCGAGCTGGATCACAAGTGAATTTTCTGTTAATGTTCAAATATCAAATTTTGGACTCGCACTTCTTGTGAAAAATTAAACCTTTACTTGAAAAAAACAAATATATATAACCTTCATTAGCATGACATGACCTTGGAGTAAAATCCTTTCGCATCCAATGATCATATAACTCAAACAAAAATTTAAAATGGCTAAATAGGTCGGCTATAGAGTTTATGCTAGTACTAGACATATCAACATGATGAGTAAAGGAAAAATTAGGAATTGTTTAGAGAGATCTAGATCAGCGGATATGAGTTTACTTAACATTTTAATAGATTTTTCAACATATCAAGTGTAAAGATATTATAATTAACAGAGTTTTTCTTTTGAAAAATGAATTAGATAAAAAAAAAGTCAATAAGTAATTAAAAGACACTCAAGTCAGCGAAGTAATCATATTCTTCCCCTTAATTGCTACGAGAATCACTATCACAAGACAGGCATGCATTATCTAATGCACATGTGAGAGAGATCTATTGGTGGAAGAAGAGATAGTCTACATAATAGGTAGTGCCTTGACGTTCGTGGCATAGAAATTTGACCATATACACTTGCTTCTTCTAAATAACTAGTACTTCACCTCAATAATAATAATAACAACAAAGAGGAAATACTTAAAGTCAAGATTAGAAAATCAATATCACAAGATATAATTGATGTTTCTCTGTAAAACAAAGGGGGAAAAGTATGCAAAATATTGACTAAACCAAGAAAATGTTGAGTCTGATACTAGAAAAGAAGAAACCACATACTTATGCTGTCATCTACTTTGACCTTGATTTATTATAATTGGTCATCTGGTTTGACCTTGAAAATTAGATGAAGGTCGGTTAGAAGATAGTGCTTGCAATCAAGAATTAAACCACATAAAATTAATGGTTTATATAGTATATATATTGCAGTTTTAATTGCTTGATGTAACCACACTTAATACAAAGTTTATATTTCAATTCTAGATCCATGACAAACTGACAATACCCATATTGCATCTCCATTGAGAAATACAATTATTGGTTTTATATGTCCTTTCAGAAATTTCACAAATATGATTATTAGTTTATTTTTTATTCGAGAAATTAAGTTTGAGTATCCAAAAATGGGCTTTGGTTTGCATTCTAAAGGGAATCCCTGAGGTTATGAGGTTCCACTAGGGGGGTGTACTTGTCAAGGTCCTACTCTAATATGTTTGTTGATCTCACCCTCTGCTTAAATTTCCTCAATTGTAAAAAATAGACGAAAACAAGTGGAAAAGCTTTCATATCCTCTACCAGATCTGAGGCTCTATTCATTACTCAAGTTGCACAAATTTATGTCAACATTGTATGGACTGGTCCTATATTTCATGCATTTGCGGTCATGCTGGCCGTTTTCATGATTACAATTTGTTGACTCCAGAACAAAATCCACCAACGCAATCAATTTCAATTTGACAAGGAGACCTAAATTCTTATGAATATTTTCATCACTCATAAACTGTACCAAGTTGTATTTAATGTATCCGATCCTAATTAATGAAAATACTCAACAAAAAAGAACAGATACCGAGCTCCTTGGTCTTGCATGGTTTGGGGATCCACAATCCTAAACCATCAGCCAAGGTTCAAGCTTTGGTAGCCCAGCAATGACGAGAAAAAAGAGCTGATGTGTCTGGATGGACAACAGAGAACATGCATGAGTACAAAAGGATATGCATATACAACAACATAAATTGACATGAACAAGAACATAAAAGCACTCTCTTGCAAGATCAAAAAGCACACTCTCTTCAAGGCACGCCAAGCTAGATCTCAAAAGCACCAACCAAGATAAGACAAAAATTTTGTCAGTTGCAACCCTAACAGATCACATCTTGCTATTCTGAACAAACTTTGGCATAGAAAAGAAGAACAAAACACAGCCAAAAACAACTTCAAAATACTACAGAAGAAACATCCGACATAAAAGAGCAGCAGGAGGTGAGAAAAAGCGAAACAGAACAGTAAGGGAATATATACACAGATCAGTGATCGAAAATCAAACACGAAAAAGATGACATACCTCATCTTGTGTTTTTCCCAAGGCAGAGCGCTAATGGCGTTCGCGCGGAGGGAATTAGGGTTTATGTTGACTAGGGTTTTCCATGCTATCATCAATAGGTGAAACTGCCACATGATCTAGTCTTTCCTGCATAGAAAAGGAAAGCTCAGATCATGCTGGCAGCTTCAACTACTGGTGGTGCATGATTAAGGCTACCCGTGTTGGACTCGCGTGATGCACTTGTTTAGGTCTTGAAGTTGCCTCTTCATCTTCTTATTCTTTCTTCTGGTTGAAGGTTCATAGATAAGGAAGGATATGGGAGGATGTGATTAGAGAGGAATATTTATAGAGGAGTTACATTTCTACTTCCTCCAGTCATATTTTGGCTGCTTCCAGTCCCATTAATTTCTTTACGCGACTTCTATGTGACTTGGAATCTAGGATGTCTGTCGTCATTAACCATTGTATAAGACAATTTCATTTCTCAGTTTTAACACAAAACTATTCTCAAACCAACTTTTTTTTTATATGGAAATTAAATTTCTTTCTAATAAATTTAAAGTAAGCTATCCACGCTGATGTAATCAGAAAACTATATATGTTTTGAAGCCTTTTTTTATTAAATTTTAAAATATAATATAATGTGTGGAATATACTTACCGATTAGACTAACTTTTTAAAGTATCAGATAAGAAAATGAGTAACAACAAACTTATCCTACTAATTGCTTTGACGTGTTGAAATTAATAAATTCAAAAGGAATAGCGAGCAAAGCTGATGTGCTTAGACTAGTCATTTTGGTAATTTTACGTTGTCAGGGACTGGAAACAAAACAGGGAAAAGAAAAAAAATCAAAAGCTCTAGATGGAAAATTGAAAAGCAGAACTCAGAAAGGGAAAAAAAATGGTAGAGTGGTCCCAAAAGAAAAAAATTGAATATTGTCACGCTTATGCCACCACATGCAAACAGGTTAGTGAGAATTTCTAAATTTCCTAAGAAGCTTTTATAACTTTAGTTGGATGACCCTTTCATTCATGGCACCTCTCTCTTTCTCTCTCTGTGGGGGTATTGTAAGGTAAGCATCAACTATGAACCAAAAAGAGCAAGAAACACAAGTAGTATATAGGGGACCAGTTTGCATGGCTTCATAGCTGTTGTATAAGGTTGACACATAAAGCAAATGGAAGACAAACCACGAAAAGCACCTTAGCCAATCAAAATCTCTCTTTTATCTTGATGGGTAGTGCATAATTTACTTCAATGCGACTTTAGTTTGTTAAACGATGGTAACATGTATATTTTTCACTTACGAACAAGGGAATAACCCATTTTTTATATGCTTGCAGTACCTGCTTTTTAATTGGTGCCAGTCACGCTCGGGAAGCAATTATTTTGAAGAACTTGTATACCACTTAGGAGGTAACATATGGAGCATTAATCTGTAAAGTGATCCATCCGACTAGGGAAAATTTATATAAAAAAAAGTTGCATACACTTTGATGAGAGGTGTTGCGATTTGGACTTTCTGCGCCTTTTCATTCTTTAATTTATTCCCTAAATCAAGGTGTTTAGAAGGTTAAAGACATAGGATTATATGGTAGGGAATTTGCCTTACACTAATTGTAGATGCACCCATTGACCGGTTACCGGTGGCTCTTGCTCCTAAAACCTTTATTAACTATATTGTTAGTTAATTGTGTACGATAACCTTAATTTAAAAATGTGTAGATGCTTTTGCTTTCTTCTTATGTTGTGTCCATGGGTTGAGGCATTATTTGTGGCTTTTTCAGACATATCTTATAGCCGACCAATTGGCGTCCATCATCGCACATAATTGGAGTGGTGACATTTTGTTTAAAGCTACACTTCTCTTCCTTTTTTTTTCTCAAATTTACAGTGAATTAGGACATGCAGAACCTTAGGTCAGCATAAGCAATACTCCCCCACTCAGAGTCAGCCACACCAAAGTCATACCAATAATCCAATTAATGACAAATGGGTGGAGCGATCTTGCTTAACCTAGGGATCCTTCACCTGCTATAATATAACGGAATAGGAATAGCTATCCAAGAATAGAAGTTGAATTAATTCGTGCAATAGAAAATGTCATGGGCTCTTCATTTGCCATTTTACCAACAGCCTTGGGGGGTATGTATACACCTTTTTTTTTTTTTTTTTTAAGGTAATTAGCTGTTGTAACGAAAAGAAAGAATAAAAGAGGGAAGCGATGTAAGAAGAGACAGAATTTCATATGAGGTCAATAGATTGGAAAGAGTGCATTTTTTTTTTTTTTTACCATGTAATAAAACAAAGAGATCATGGAGAAATTACACATTAAGAGGAAGCAGACGAACATGTTTGCATTGAAAAAGTAGATACCAAATACCATGATGATGGTTATAATTAAGATGATCACTTCTCCCAAGTGAATCTATAAATGTCAATTAAAAGAATTGATTTCCCTCATGTATACCATTCACTTCTCTCAGTTAAAACATATTAAATCCCAAAAAAGGGCATGTAAACGTATCATTAGATGACCCAACTAGCATTACCACTGTAATGATAATATGTTGATGTACGTAGCTATCATGAGGCAATAGCAGGGCAATAATTTTCACAACATTGCAACACCATGTGTTCTGGGCCCATCCTAGCTTAAGGCTGAGCTATGCTGCACCCAAACAGGTGCACTAGTGACGTAATCAAAGTTTTTGGCAGAGAAATTTAACAACCCTAAGCTGGGCCTTAAGATAAAACTGAATTCAACCATAAAGCGGTAACTTTTAGTAAGAAACGATTTTAAGGTCCGAATTTGATTCCTATAACCAGCATTATTAAAAAATTTATTTTTAAAATATTCAGTATCTTATATTGAAAAATGTTTTTTTAATCATATCGAAGAAGAAAGTAATTTCGAATTGTGAACTTAAAAAATAAAATTGAATCCAATCCCTCAAATTTTTGGAATGCAAAAATATGTGCCATTCATTAATTGTTGTAGTTTAATCTTTTCACTCTCTGCAAGTGCAATGATAGCAGGTAACTTGTTTTTTAATTTTGGCCAATACACAAGTAGTTGATTTGGTATGGGAGCTATCCTTTTATTTCTACTATGGATGCTACGTTGATGATCACAAGCACTAAGGATCAAATGATAAGAAACAATTTTTTTCTGAAACTTTAAAACATTCCTCTTTTTCTAATCAAAGAAATGCAATGATTAGTGGAAGTGCTGTTGTATTAATGGATTCTAGTTCCAATTCTGTGCACCTAACTGGTCTCTTTCAGTACTTCCTCTTTTCAATCGAATCTCACTTCCCTTTGCCTCCAAGATCGAAGAAGAAGTACAAAACATGCAGAAGGAGCAGGATGGCGGAGGGATGTTACTAATTTACCCTGCTTTCCGGCTCATGGCTTTAACTAAATTATAATATTTGTTGTCATTTATATTTCTAACTAGAGACAAAAAGGAAAAAAAAAAAAAAGGGCCCTTAATTTTACCTGTTCATTTTCTTTCTTTCTTTCTTTCTTTCTTTTTTTTTTCTCTGGGCTGTGTTATTAATTAATTTATTTTTTTTTATCCTTTTGCATCCATTAAGAGTTTTTTTTTTTTTTTTTTAATAAATAAGCAAGTTATTTTCTTAAATTGTTGGAAGCTTGCGGCTCCGGTTTGATTACTTGTATTCCCATTAATGGAGTGTTGAGAAAAGATGCTTCCAATTACATGGTTATTTTCTCATTTCGTAGTTATTGTATGGATAATAATACTTTAACCGAACAATTTCATCGAATTTTTTAATCAAATAGACACAAGTAATTTGTTTTACTGTTATTAACAGGCTCTACCCTTCAATCTATAGGGCAGAATTTTTGGAGAAATTGGGGGATGAAAATATCATTATGTATCTTTGTTCAATAAAGCTTTTCGGGCTCAGTCCAGTTTAGTTATTTTCATGATCAATGGTCGGCCCAAATGCAAGCATCCTTATTTTAAGAGCCCAAATATGCTTCTTCTTCCTTTTTAGAATTTTACTGACTTAATTAATTAACGTTTTTTTTTTTTTTTTTTATTCCAAGAACAGTTCGGATAGGTCTCACGAGAGTACCCCCAATTTTCAAATCTCCACTCACTCTTTCTAAAATTTAAACCTGATAACTTTTGAATATTAAATATTAATCACATGTGACGGTCCAATTTGAAAAGAAAAATATATAAAACTGATTAGTTTTAAGTTTAGTTTCACAAAGTAACTTTTGGGTTCATGATAAGTCCAGTAATTCACTGATATATGCTAGTCCACAGAGGGACTTAATTAATTAATTATGTTTTTGAAACTCCTACAATAGATTAGCCAACTTTCAATTAATTTATGCTGACGATTTAGATTTTATTATTATTATTAATAACTTCGTAGATTTAAATCTAATTTATTTAGTTATTTTTTACTATCGTCGAGAAAGCAGTTAAAAAAAAAAAAAACCTTTATGTACAACATGCGGTTTCTATGGTCTCCTTGTCCAATAAATCGCCCTTCTCTTTGGTCTCCGTTGCTGGAACGATCAGTGGCAAAGGTCTGCGCTTTTGTCAGGGTCAGCCCCATGAGCATGCAATGAGAAGCAACAAATAAAGAAAGTCACGCAAGCGATCATATGAACACATATCTGTTATGGAAAAAAAAGGAAAAATAAAAATAAAAATACAAACTAGCTACCTGTCAACACCACGTTACGAGTCCAATTCAACATGTAAAATTATATAACTTTATATATTTTTAATCAAAATTTTATATGTAGTTTATTCTTTTTTATGTTTTTTTTTAAAAAAAATTTGGTAGTTAAAAAACTCATTTATTCTTCCTTATACGTTGATTTTTAAATAAAAATTTACAATAACCTATATGAAAAATTTAATCCAAAAGTACAAAAAACGCTTTAATATTTTTCATAAGATTATATAAAAAATAATAATAATAAAGCAACAATTAATATAAAACTTATATAAAAATAAACAAACAATTTTTTT